CCAGACCACTCGACGACCCGACCCACGCGCATGGCGGTGTCCGTCGAAGCAAAAGTCGCGCGCGGCCCTTCCATTGTGCTGCTGGAACCGCCTGGATGCGCGCGTCAAGCGCTGAGAGCGATATTTGGCGCGCACGTTCTGAAAACATGGGTGTATGGGTCATCGATCGCAATATCCAGCGCGCGCACCGCCGCAACGCGCGCGCCGCACCGCGCATCGCTCCGCCAAATATCGGCTATCGGTCGCAATATCTAGCGCGCGCCGCGGCGCGCGCACCAATGTCCGCATCGCGCCGCGCGCAGGCGCGATGGCCGCCTACGACGGGAAGACGCCCTTCATCCTGCTCGCGCGGTGCCACATCAAGCCCGACGCCGACGTCGACGCCTACCTCGCGGCCGCGCGCGTCGCCGACAAGGCCGTCATGGAGTCGGAGCCGGGCATGCTGCACCACACCTTCGACGTGGATCCCGACGATCCGCGCATGTTCGTCTGGAGCGAGGTCTACAAGGACGACGAGGCGCTGCTCTTCCACCTCACGAACCCGCCCCTGCAGAAGTTCGTGCAGCAGCACTCCGAGGAGTTCGGCGACGGCTTCTCCATCGAGATCTACGGCACGCTCGACGCGGAGACGAAGAAGAAGTTCGACGCGACGGGCTTTCCCATCAAGTACTTCGACACGAAGCTCGGCTACTCGCGCGTCAACGACGCCAAGTGCGCCGTCATGTGAGTGAACACGACGTCGTGCGCCGTCATGCGAGCGCACAAGCGCGCGCGCCGTCCAAAGCCGCGGAACGCGCGAGGAAGACCCAGCGAAACACGCCGCGCTAAAAGAACGACGGACATCACTTAGACGCGCGCGCGGGAGCATCGAGGAGGCGGCCGGGGGAGGCGCCGAGCTCACCGCTCGCGGCGGCGGCTTAGTTGTGCGTGATGGGGTAGAAGAAGTGGTGGTCGCACGAGTCGAGCTGGGAGTGGAGCATGGCGCCCGTGACGCCGAGCATGGCCGCGCGGCCGTTCTGGAGCTCGCAGGTGAGGGCGCGCTGGCGGGCCGTGGGGTCCTCGATCTGGTTCGTGAAGGGGTAGCCGCCGGGGATCGTGCCCGCGGAGCCGTCGTAGCCGCCGGGGAGGTTCTGGGGGCCGCCCGTGTACTGGGTCGCGGGCATGGCCGCCGTCTCGGCGATGAAGCCGAAGGCGACGATCTGGAAGAGGCCGAACTTGGGGATGTTCTCGATGGCGTCGAAGCCGTAGCCGATGTCGGAGAACTGGACGGAGCCGTCGAGCGTGATGGAGCCGGGGAAGGTGATGCCGAGCTCCTGGACCATCATGCCGATGAACGCGGTCATGGCGATGCGGCCGTGCTTGATCTCGACGGCGCGGCGGCGCGCGAGCGACTCCTGCTCGTCCCAGAACTTGCCCGACGGCACGACCGTCGACATGGACAGGAAGGGGTCGAGGCCGATCTCGGGCACGGGCAACTCGCCGGCCTTGGCGACGACGCTGGCGGCCTTGGCCGTCGACGAGGACTGCTGGAAGGCCGCGGCCGGGGCGACGAGGGCGAGGGCGAGGGAGAGCTTCATGGTGGCGTGTGGGAGGCCTGCGCGCGCAATGAGTTCGGGTCGTGTCGCGGCCGCGCGGGTTGCGGTGGGGTTGCACGAGGTGTATGGGGGTCGCGGCGGGGTCGCGCGTGCAACTGGGGACTGGGTGGGTGGGTTCTGGACGCTGCATTCGACGAGGTTGAGATTCTAAAAAGGCTTGAGTCTCGGATCGGATTGCGGCCTCAAGTCGGCCATGTTGACCCTCAAGTCAACAGGTTGAACGCGATGGGCAGCCTCCTCGCGTCACTCCGCAGGCTAGCAGCCTCCCGTGGCTGCCGCGGAAGCCATGCCCACGACAGGCAGTCGCCTGACGAGCCATCCATGCCGCGCTGACCCATGAGGCTCACCGTCGAATGCCTCGGCCGCACCCACGCCTTGCGCTTCGCGCGGCTCGACCGGCCCATGCGCAGCCTCGCCAAGGCCGTCGCCAAGGCCGCCGGCGTCGAGCGCGTCGTGCTCGAGGCGGACGGCGGCGTCCTCGACGGCGCCGCGAAGGTCAGCGCGGTCCTCCGCGACGGCCAGCGGCTCGTCGCGCGCGTCCCGCTGGACCTGCCCTACGACGAGTTCGACGTCGTCGTCGTCGACTTTGGGCGCGCGGGGAGCGGCGCGCCGTCGTGCTCGCCGGAGGCGCCGGCCTGGGTCTGCAGCCGCAGCGACGTCGAGCGCCGCGCGGCGAACGCCGTGCTGGGATCGCCGACGTCCGTCGCGGCGCACCCGCGCGAGGCGGGGCCGCACGTCGTGAGATGGGGCGACCTCGAACGGTCGTTCACGGCGGTCGCCGCGCGCCGGCCCGCGCCCTGGCAGACGCTGCGGCCCGCGGCGCGCGCGCGCGTCCTGCGGTGGCTGCGAGCGAACGGCGTCGACGCCGCGACGGACCGCGTCGACGCCGCGCAGCTGCCGCTGCCCCGCGTCGACGCCGCCGACGACGCCGCGCCCGTCGCCTGGCGGCGGCCCGCCGCGGGCGAGGTCGTCGTGCTGCCCGACTTCGTCGACGAGGCCCTCGCGCGGAAAATAATCAACGCGGCGAAAAAACGGCTCGCGGCGAGCGGCCTCATGGGCGACGGCGGCGCCGCGGCCCGGCCCGCGGCCGCCGGCTACCGCAGCAACCGCGCGGCCTTCCTCACGGACGCGTCGGGCGCGGGCGCCGTCCTCGGCGCGCTGCAGCGGATCACAAGGCGGTACTTCCCCGAGGTGCCGGCGGCGGACGTCGAGTTCCAGGTCGTCCACTACCGCGCGGGCGAGGAGTATCGCTTGCATCACGACGTGCTCCGGCGCGACGCCGACGGCGCGTTCCCGCGGCGCACGTCGCTCTTCGTCTACCTCGCGCGCGCGGACGCGGGCGGCGGCACCGCGTTCCCGCGTCTAACGAGCGGCGACGCGCTCGAGGGCGGCGGGTCGCTCTTCCTGCCGCCGGCGCGGTCCGCGCTCTGCTGGAGCAACGTCGACGGCGACCGGCCGGACCGGCGCGCGGAGCACGCGGGCGCGCCCGTGGTCGCGGGCGAGAAGTGGGGGCTCAACGTCTGGCTCCCGGCGCCGGCCGCGCGCGCGACGGAGACGCTCCGCGTCGCTCTACCCATCGACGAGCTCGGGGCGCGGATCGGCGACGTCGACGTCGGGCCGCTCCCCGGGCCCTTCGCCGCGCCCGCGCCGCGGCCCGATGCGGACCTCCTCCGGCGGGCGGAGCGGCTTCTCCCGGACGAAACGCGGCGCCTCTACGAGCGGCCGGGCTCCGACTACGTCGTCCAGCTCGCGCTCCGCACGGTCACGCGCGTCGCCGACGGCCTCGGACATCGCACGCTCGAGCTCCGCTGCGTGCTGCCCCGGGCCGTCAAGAAGGCCACCGTCGCCGCCCTCGAAGACGCCGGGGAGGCCTTGGGCGTCACCTTCGCCATGACGCCGGGGATGGTGCGGTGGGTGAGAGACTGTGAGTACGGCCTAGAGTGGTGCTAGGTCACGACGACGACCGACGCGTTCCGCGTCTGCTGCTGCGGCTCCGTCGTCACCGCCGCGCCCACGACCGACGACTCGCAGTAGGCACGGAAGCCCGATCTCGCGACACACGCCGCGCGTTCTCTCTCTCTCGGGATCCTCGCCGTATGGGTAGGCCTATGAGCCTCCTATGGGCGCGCCTAGATGGCTCGCCTAGATGTACGTTGAAGGCCTCGTTGAATGCTGCAGCGCTGCGACCGACTCAGGTCTTTTGAACGCGCAGCACCGCCAGCCCGCTGACCGCGGGCGCCGTCGCAGCCATGCGCGTCGACTCGCCCATGATCAGCTACCACAGCCTCGAGGGCGGCAAGAGCGACCGCATCATGTCCGTGGACTGCCACCCCGACGCGTCCGACGGCCTCGTGACCTTCGCGACCGTCGGCGGCGGCGGCGAGGGCGACGTGCGGCTCTGGTCCCTGGCGCCGGACGCCGAGGCGCCGGTCTACCGGAGCAGCCTGCGCAAGGGCCACGACGGGTCCGTGAACTGCGCGCGCTGGAGCCCCGACGGCGCCAAGCTCTGCTCCGCGGGCGACCGCGGCACCGTCTGCGTCTGGAGCGGCCAGTCGACGGCGGCGTGGTGGCGGGGCCTCGACGACCGCGACGAGCGCGCGACCTGCGGCCACCTGAGCCACAGCGACGACGTCTACGACGTGTGCTGGAGCCCCTGCGGCGCCTACGTGCTGAGC